CTGGTCCAATCAGCTATGCTCAGAAGTGGTCTATGATGGGGCGCCTGGGTGGCTCAGTCGTTAAGCCTCTGCCCTCAGCACAGGTCATCATCCCAGGGTCCTGGGTTCGAGCCCCGCACCGGGCTCCCTGCTCCGCGGGAAGCCTGCTTCTCCCTCTCCCACTCCCCCTGCTTGTGTTCCCTCTCTCGCTGTCTCTCTCTCTCTGTCAAATAAATAAATAAAATCTTAAAAAAAAAAAAAAGTCTGTGGAACAAGTTGAGATTGAGACTCTGCTTTTGCCCCTCCATCTTGCTGCAGAGATGCTAGAGCTGGGAGTGTATGGTGTGGCTGGGGTCTATGTGGTCTGGACTCTGGAGGAGACACTGCTGGGCTAAGGGGAGTCCTCGCTGCTGCTGCAGTGGTTCCTGGGGGTGTGGTGGGCGAGGGAGAAGCTCCCTGGTATGGCTGGTAGTTCTGACAGTGGCAGACATCACTCACTAAAATGGACAGGGATGGCTTGTTGGACAGTGGATAGAAGAGACCTCATTGCCTGCAGACCTGAGTTTGGTTGGACACATCACAGAGAAACCAGAGAAGTCATCATTTGCTATGTCGGGCATTTGGATCCAGGATTTTACCAGTTCTCCCCAAGCTCCTGTGAGGTCTGGGTTATTGGCTCCCTCACAGAAGCTGTGCGGGCCCAGAGAGCTTTCATGACTTGCCCAACGGCCATAGCAAGAAAGTGGAGCAACAGGAAATGGACCCTGATCCTCCCTGACTTAAAATGTACGCTTTTACGGGGCACTTGGCTGGTTCAATCGGTTAAGTGTCTGGCTCTTGATTTTGGCTCAGGTCATGATCTCAGGGTCCTGGCATTGGGCTCCATGCTCAGTGGGGAGTATGCTTGAGTATTCTATCTCCCTCTTCCTCTGCCCCTCCCCCCTCATGCTTTCTCTCTCTCTCTTCCTCAAATAAATAAATATATACATTTTTAAATGTACGCTTTTAGCCACTGCCTGCCATCGTTGTACCCTCATTACATTTGTCCAAGTTTCTATAGTTAGTACACATCACACACGTGATCTTTTTTTTTAAGATCTTATTTATTTATTTGACAGAGAGAGACACAGCGAGAGAGGGAACACAAGCGGGGGGAGTGGGAGAGGGAGAAGCAGGCTTCCCGCGGAGCAGGGAGCCCGGTGCGGGGCTCGAACCCAGGACCCTGGGACCATGACCTGAGGCGAAGGCAGACGCCTAACGACTGAGCCACCCCGGCGCCCCACAGACATGATCTTATTGGAAGTGTTAAACATCCTTTAGGGCAGCATAGCCATGCTTATATTCCCATTTTACCCAGGAAGAAGCTGAGGGTTCAAGAGAAGTCATGACTTATCCTTGGTTACCTTCTGGTCCATGGCAGAGCTGGGACCAGAACCCACATCTTCTGGATTCAAATGTATCAACAGGTATTTACTGTATCGAGCTGTGTCCATGTCATTGCTGGTAGTATGGTTGCCTTTTTTTCTCAAATGTACAAAATTGATTGTCTAAGAGAAATAATTATAAATATATCATTCCCTACAAAAGAGTACATATTATAATATACATACAGTTCAAAGAATAATCATCAACATCCAAGTACCTACCACCACCTTAAAAAACACATCATCAGGGGCGCCTGGGTGGCTCAGTCGTTAAGCCTCTGCCTTCTGCTCAGGTCATGATCCCGGGGTCCTGGGATCGAGCCCCGCATCGGTCTCTCTGCTCTGCAGGAGGCCTGCTTTTCCCCCCTCCCACTCCCCCTGCTTGTGTTCCCTCTCTCACTGTGTCTCTCTCTGTCAAATAAATAAATAAAAATCTCTAAAAAAAAAGAGTCAGGTGCATAACTGACTGAGCCACCCAGGTGCCCTAAGAAAACCAAACTTAATCCTAACCTGCCCAAGAACATTCCTAAAGTTTAAAAGATATTATTATTATTATGTCTTTCATAGAGCTCTTGCTATGTTCCAGGCACTGAGCTAGCCCTGGGGCCAAGAGTCACCCACTGTGACGTGGGCAATATGGCCCCCACCTTACAAGTGAGCAGAGAGGTGACGTCACCTGCTGAAGGTCACCCATCTAGAAGTGGAAAAACTGGGTCCGGAGCAGCTCTTGAGATTTCCATTCTTCTCCACACTGACTGGATCAGGAAGAAAAAGCCTTAAGGCACATGTGCCTCCAGCAGTGAAACTGGTTTGGGGCCTCACGGTGATGGGTGAAAACGATGCCCTCTCCTGACCCTCTCACTCCATGCTCCACCTCAGAAGCCTCTGGCTAAGTTTTCCTCCCACTTTGGTTCACATGGAAAATAGTTGGGTTGGACTGTTTGGAATGTTCTTCCTTCCAGACAGACTAGGTGCAGTCATTTCTCATGGAGGGCTGTATGCCTGCCCCACAAACCCATGTGGCCGCCCCTGGGGTTCCAGGCATTCCAATAACCTCACTCAGTGAAAGGTGTGGGCTAGGAAAGGCCTGGGAGGCTGGTGGGTGACATCTTGGGAAGGACAGTGTGGCTTGCCTTGGTCAGGAATGCTGAGCTGGAATTTTGAGGGAAGCCACGTGCTCCTGAAGCTGTCTCCCTCCTCTCCGGCCTGCTGTCCTTCCCCACCCTCAACAGAGTTGGGGGACTTTCCCATAATCCAGCTGCCTTTGGAGATAAAGACTGTAGCTCCATAAGCAACTGCTTCTCCTATCACACTTCAAATAATAAAACAAAAAATACAAATTAAAACAACAGTGAAATAGCATATTCACCCGGCCGACAAGTACAACAGTTTAAGTCTGATCATGCCGCATCGTCCCGTAAGGGTGTAGACCAACAGGAATTGTCACCTACCACTAGCAGAGTAGAAAGAGGAGGAACCTCATTAGCAAACAATCTGATATTATCTCATAAAGCTAAAGGTGCAATGATTACCTCATGGCCCAGTAATTTTGCTCCCAGGTATACATCGCAGGGAACCCCTTCTCTGTGTTCATCAGCAGAGAGGAACAAGAGTGGTCACGGTGGCATGGGCTAGAAACAAACAACTAGAAACCACCCAAACTTCCATCCACAGCAGAGTGGTAGAATGTGGTGTATTCCTATGCCAGAGCATCACGGAGAAGCAAACCCGAGTAAACCAAAGCTGCATCCTGTGGGTGCTTCTCACAAACAACACTTAGTGCCGAAGTCAAAAACACACACAAAGAAACAAAGCGTTTAGAGATAGAAATATATGTTGGCACAGCCATAAAGAAAAGCAAGGAAAACGTTAAATATAAAATCCAGGATTGTGGTCACCCCTGGAGGGGAAAGAGTGCAGGAATGAGATTGTCTAGGGGTTTTAAAAGTATCAGTGATGGGGGCGCCTGGGTGGCTCAGTCGTTGAGCGTCTGCCTTTGGCTCAGGTCATGATCCCGGGGTCCTGGGATCGAGCCCCGCATCGGGCTCCCTGCTCAGCAGGAAGCCTGCTTCTCCCTCTCTCACTCCCCCTGCTTGTGTTCCCTCTCTCGCTGGGTCTCTCTCTGTCAAATAAATAAAATCTTAAAAAAAAAAAAATAAAAAGTATCGATGATGATGTGTTTGTTTTTCTTTAAAGATTTTATTTATTTATTTGACAGAGAGGGACCCAGCGAGAGAGGGAACACAGAGGTGTTCTGCCCGGGCAGCTCCATCCCAGGGTCCTTGAAGCTATATGTCTACACCCCGTGCCAGGCTTTGAACACTCTCAGGATGGGACCTGGAAGAAATCAAATGAATCATAGGGATTCCTGGTGGAGTTTTAGCATTCCATATAAGGCAGGGGAAGAGGTGGTAGGCGTGTGGATGGGGCTAAGGGGTCTTGGTACTCTTCTTGTTAACCCCATACATCAGGGGCTACCTGCAGGCCCCACAGGCTTCAGCTGGGGTCGTGCCAGAGATGGGCCTTACACAGAGTGCCCTCTGCTTTACCTTACCCCAATCATCTATACCAGGGGCCCCAAGCTCCAAGAACCCCTTGGCTTGCCCGTGTCCCAAATACTGAAACCCAGATTCAAAGCCAGAGGCACACAGAGGAGAAAATGAGTCTTTGAGGGTTTTTTTGTGATGACATTCCCAGTTTCCATTTGGAAAGCTGAATATATTTTCTGGAGTTGAACTTTCACCATGAACAATGCTTAGGGTTTTAATTTTTGCAATTAATTTTCTCTGCTAACCAAAAGGTATTTTTGTTTTTGCGTTTAAGAATCATGCGTGCTCACTCTAGGAAATCTGAAAAATTTTTTAGGAATAAAAGAAAGGTCACCTCCCCCTCCCCAATTCCTAGAGAAATATATTGTAAAAATTTGGTATCTTTCCTGTCGATCTTTTTTTTTTTGCCCCTGTGCATGGAGTTATTTTGTTTAGTTTTCATTGTTGCTGGGAGCAAATAGAATGTTGGTTTCTGATTCATAATTTACAGAGCTGATTTCATGTATTTATAACAAGCCTGTGATGCTTCCAGCAGCTCTGCCCCCTCTGGGAATTGTGGGGGTGGGACCTGTTGCCCTCCCCTGTGTTCTCCTGACACTTTTGACAATATTAGGTTCACGGTGCCATTGCCAGCACTAAGCAGTATGCTTTTAAACTTACAGTTAGTCTCGAGTGTATCAATTGTCCTTCTAGAACCTAACTCTTGCCTTCTTTTCTTTTTTAAGCCCTAGAGCTCTGGGCATGTGCCCTCCTCGATGAACCCACAGTGATCGGTTTGTTTTGCCTTCTCCCAGCTCACGCATACTTCAGGCCTTGGTAACCAGAATGTTTTGTCTGTTCAGGCTCAGAGTGATCAGTGGGGCAGGAACCCCAAAGTTCAGTGCCTCATGATGCGTCAGGATGAACTTAGGAAAACAGCGAGCTGTTGCCTGGACTGCTTCTTAGAATCTGCTGGTACTTCTGTTTGTCTCTGGTTTTAAAAGTCCCCCCAGAGGCAATCTGAAACCCAGACTCTTCTCAGAATAGGATGGGGGAAATTCCGAAGTTCTTATTAAACACATTTATCCCTCAAGCTTTGCAAGGAGCCAAAATGCCAAAAGCGAGAATCCCAAAGTGCGGCCCACACTGGTGTGATATCCCGATAAATGTCTAACAAAGTCAGCATGTGTCCCCTGGGCTTGAACATTTGCTGGGCAAAGTTCCAGAAGAGTGAGACATCTTGGGATTCATCCGGTTTAGGAAAGACCTTTAACTACCAGCTGTCACCTCACTGTTCTTCCAACAGTCAAGTCTTGAGGTCTTTTCACTGTGCGCTGTTCTGATGGAGGGCCCCCACCAGCATGAAGCAGAAGGATGACCTTGTCCCATAGGCAGGACAACTGTGAAGGGAGCTGTGTGTGTCCAGGTCTGTGGACTTGGGAAGAGAGAGCCACCTAGAATGTCCCCGCCAAACCAGTCACTGGAAGGCCTTCTCCAGGAGGCCTCCAACAGATCCCTGAATGCTACAGAAACCCCAGAGGCTTGGGGTCCAGGGACACTCCAGGCCCTCAAGATCTCTCTTGCTCTGCTCCTTTCCATCATCACAATGGCCACAGCCCTGTCCAACACCTTTGTGCTCATCACCATCTTCCTCACCAGGAAGCTCCACACCCCCGCGAACTATCTCATCGGCTCCCTGGCCATGACTGACCTCTTAGTCTCCATCTTGGTCATGCCCATCAGCATCGCCTATACCACCACCCGCACCTGGAGCTTTGGCCAAATCCTCTGTGACATCTGGCTGTCTTCTGACATCACCTGCTGCACTGCCTCCATCCTGCATCTCTGTGTCATTGCTCTGGACAGGTACTGGGCCATCACAGATGCCCTGGAGTATAGTAAACGCCGCACAGTGGGCCGGGCGGCTGCCATGATTGCCACCGTCTGGGTCATCTCGATCTGCATCTCCATCCCACCACTCTTCTGGCGGCAGGCCAAAGCTCACGAAGAGATGTCGGACTGCCTGGTGAACACATCTCAGATCTCCTACACCATCTACTCCACCTGCGGGGCCTTCTACATCCCGTCTGTGCTGCTCATCATCCTCTATGGCCGCATCTACGTGGCCGCCCGGAATCGCATCCTGAATCCACCTTCGCTCTATGGGAAGCGCTTCACCACGGCCCACCTCATCACGGGCTCTGCGGGGTCCTCGCTCTGCTCGCTCAGCCCCAGGCTCCAGGAGGGGCACACCCATACTGCCGGCTCCACTCTGTTTTTCAACCACGTGAAAATCAAGCTAGCCGATAGTGTCCTGGCGCGCAGAAGGATTTCCGCGGCTCGAGAAAGGAAAGCCACAAAAACGCTGGGGCTCATCCTAGGGGCCTTTATCATCTGCTGGCTGCCCTTCTTTGTCGCATCTCTAGTCCTCCCCATCTGCCGGGACTCCTGCTGGCTCCACCCAGCCCTCTTTGACTTCTTCACCTGGCTTGGCTATCTCAACTCCCTCATCAATCCAATAATATATACTGTGTTTAACGAAGAGTTTCGACAAGCGTTTCAGAAAGTCGTCCATTTTCGGAAAGCCTCCTAGTCTTATTTGCTGGTGACTGTTTTTATCTGTTGTGTCCTGTAACCCAACTGGAATTGTCTTGTTTATTTTTCCTGAGCTTTGGGCCAATCCTGGTATGTTGCGTTTTGGTTCGACCAATGAAATTGTTCAGCGTTCTTCTTCCTGTTGTCTTCTTGACTTCTGGGCCACCCAAAGTGGGGCAGCTTTGTGAAGGGTGACAAAACCGGAGATTCCACTTAGCATATTTTCATGGCTCATCCATGTTGGGAGAAATGTGATCCACAGGATTCCCCATTGATTCAGTTCAGATGGGAAGCTGTCCAACTCTACAGAGAGACCCTAGGTTCAAATGGGAGGCTTTCTGGTCTACGTAAGTTTTGTATGGAGCTCAGAGGAGGAGGGTACGTGAGGTTAATGACCTGAGCTGAAAGAAAATTCCATGTGGCACCTTGATTAGAAAGTAACACACAGATCAACTACCCCCTACCCTTCCTCCTTCCCCAGTATCTCTGCATCACCTTAATATTCTGAAGTTAAAACCCACAATTACCCACAATGACAGATTGACAGGCTTTGGACCCACCAAGCTTTGAGTGGGACCCCATTCTGAATTTTGTTTCATGAATTATTTTTTTTTTATATCCTGTTCTCATGAGAGATCTTAAGATGTTGAGTCTTGTCGGGCGCCTGGGTGGCTCAGATGGTTAAGCGTCTGCCTTCGGCTCAGGTCATGATCCCAGGGTCCTGGGATCGAGTCCCGCATCGGGCTCCCTGCTCAGCGGGGAGCCTGCTTCTCCCTCTGCTTCTCTCTCTCTCTCTCTCTCTCTCTCTCCCTCTCCCTCTCTCTCTTCCTCTCTCTCTCATGAATAAATAAATAAAATCTTTAAAAAAAAAGATGTTGAGTCTTGTCAAATAAAAAGCATGAGACGTCATGGTCAGTGAGATCTTCGGGTAATGTCCCCCCGCTCCCTGGATGAACCTTTCAATCCACTTCAGTCTCCAGCATTTACTGAGCACCCACCACAGGCCCGGCCCGGTACTGGAGTCCTGGCATCTCGTCTCTCACTAGAGCCTTATGAAAGCCAGTCTCGTGATGGTTAAAGCTGAGCCATGATGCCTCAGTTCAAATTCAAGTACTACCAACTTCCAGCTGGGTGATCTGGGGCAAGTTTTTGAAGCCTTCTTTGCCTCACTCTCTTCAACTGTAAAATGGGGATAATAATAGGTGTGTTATTGTATAAAAACAATAGCCACTGTTTATGGAGTGCCTACAATGTTCCTTGTGCACATTTTCTTGTTTGCTCTTCTTCCCCATTTTATAGATGCAGTAGGGCAATGTTCCTATTGTTAGGGAAGATTTCAGAAAGATGGGACAGACTCCCAAAAGCTGAACCTTTGTGGGCTGGGAGACTAAGGAAAGGGAGAGGGGATGAGGCCCTCTTGGGGGAGATAGAGCGAAGCAAAGGAAGGTCACACCAGGCGGAACAAAGAGCAGGAAAAAAGACTGGGAGATCTGTAATGCTCACTGGGGTCTCTGGGCACAGAGAGAAGAATGAGAGCCAGGAATATGGGATATCAGGAAGGGAAGGAAAAGAGGGATGCCAAAATGGGGGGTGGGCAGGGGCAGACAGAAGTCTTGTGTTGACCTTGAAGTTCCTCCTGGACATTTCACACTGTGCTCCCTGGACCATCTGCATTAGATCCAGAGAGCTTGTTAACATTAGATTCCTGGTCCCCAGCTCAGACCCATTAAATCAGATCTCTGGCAGTGAGGCCTGGGAATCTTCATTTTAAATAAGCCTCTCTCTGACTTCTTGCAGTAGATGATTTCTATCCCTCTAAAGTTTGGGAACCTCTATGTTAGTGTCTTGCTTCCCCTGCGAGGTCCCTCCCTGAGCCCAGAGACACCTCTCAGCATGCTCATGGCTGTCCTCTGCACCTGGTATGCCCTTTCCTAACTTCCTTTAAGGCTGTGCTCTCTTCCCCATCTCCTCCGTCTTAATTTTTTTTTTTAAGATTTTATTTATTTATTTGACAGAGAGAGACACAGCGAGAGAGGGAACACAAGCAGGGGGAGTGGGAGAGGGAGAAGCAGGCTGCCCACCAAGGGACCCCGATGCGGGGCTCGATCCCAGGACCCCAGGATCATGACCTGAGCCGAAGGCAGATGCTTAATGACTGAGCCACCCAGGCACCCCTCCTCCATCTTTTTTAAAAATGTTTTATTGTTATGTTAATCACCATACATTACACCATCAGTTTGTGATGTAGTGTTCCATGATTCATTGTTTGTGCATAACACCCAGTGCTCCACGCAGAACGTGCCCTCTTTAATACCCATCACCAGGCTAACCCATCCCCCCACCCCCCTCCCCTCTAGAACCCTCAGTTTGTTTTTCAGAGTCCATCGTCTCTCATGGTTCGTCTCCCCCTCCGACTTACTCCCCTTCATTCTTCCCCTCCTGCCATCTTCTTCTTCTTTTTTTTTCTTAACATATATTGCATTATTTGTTTCAGAAGTACAGATCTGTGATTCAACAGTCTTGCAGAATTCACAGTGCTCACCATAGCACATACCCTCCCCAATGTCTATCACCCAGCCACCCATCCCCCCCACCCCCCACCCCTCCTCCATCTTAATTTGGGCCATCTTCCTGATCTGGGAAACATTAGGAATTCAGAGACTGGACAGGGAAGTGTTGCTCAGTGGTTAGCTCAGCGGACATAGGCTTTGAAGTCAGAAACAGCCAGAATTGAATTCTAGTTCTGCCATTTATCAGCTGTGTGACCTAGGGCAAGTCACCTACCCTCTTTGTGCTCTAATTTCTTCATCTGTTAAATGGGATTGTCAGTATCTAAGCCATAGGATTTTTGTAGGGATTCAATGAGGTGGTAATTATAAAATGCTTCGCACAGTGTCTGGCACATAAGTGCTCAGCAAAACGTCATCTGTTACTATTTGAGAGCTTTGAGCCAATTACAAAGGAAGCTCAAAAGTCACCTCCTCAGAGGCCTTCCTTGACCATCTAGAACAAAAGTCAATAAACCTGCTAAAAGATGGCTTTATAGGGATGCCTGCGTGGCTCCCTTCAGCTCAGGTCATGATCCCAGGATCCTGGAATGGAGTCCTGCATTGGGCTCCTTGCTCAGTGGGAGCCTGCTTCTCCCTCTACCTACTGCTCCCCCTGCTTGTGCTCTCTCTCTCTCTGACAAATAAATAAATAAAATCTTTTAAAAAAAAACATGGCTTTATTGAGAAATAAGTCATATGCCAAATAATTCACCCACTGAAAGTATACAATTCAATGCCTTTTAGTATATTCACAGAGTTGTGTAACCATCACCACAATCAATTCATCACCCCCAGAAAGAAATCCTGCACCCTTAGCCAACACTCCCCAGCCTCCCTGGCCCTAGACATCACTAATCTATTGTCTGTCTCTATAGATTGCCTATTCTGGACATGTCACATAAATGGAATCGTACAATCTGCTCTTTTGTGGCTGCCTTCTTTCATTTAGCCTAGTGTTTTCACAGCTCATCCATATTATTTATTTTAGATTTTATTTATTTGAGAGAGAGAGCACAAACCAGGGGGAGCGGCAGGCAGAGGGAGAAGTAGACTCCCCATGGAGCAAGGAGCCCGATGCGGGGCTCAATCCCAAGACCCTGGGATCATGACCTGAGCTGAAGGCAGACACTTAACTGATTCACTTAACCATCCAGGTGCCCCTCAACCATATTAGAGCATATACACTATTACATTTCTTTTTTTGCCCACTAATAGTCAATTGTATGGCTAGACCACATTCTACTTACTCATTCATCCGTTGATGGACATAGGGGTTGTTTCCACTTTTTTCCATTATAAATAATGCTGCTATGAGCATTCTTGTACAAATTTTTGTGTGGACACATGTTTTTATTTCTCTTGGGCACGCACCCGGGGATGGGATTGCTGGGTCATATGGTAACTCTATGTTTACCCTCTGACGAACTGCCAGACTGTTCTCCAAAACGGCTGCTCCATTTTACGTTCCGATTAGCAATGCATGAGGGCTCCAATGTGTCCACATCCTCACTGGTATTTGTTTTTTGATGATAATCATTCTAGTGGGTGTGAAGTGGTATCTCACTGGGAAGGCAAACTTTTTTTTAAGGGCCAGATAGTATTTTCATCTTTGTAGGTTCTATCATCTCTGTTCCGATTACTCATCTCTGCCCTTGTGGCATGAACGCAGCATAGATAATATGTAAGTAAACGAGCTTGGCTGTATTCCAATAAAATTTTATTTACTAATATAGATTCCAGCTCACAGGCAGAGTCTAGTTGCAGACCCCTGATCTAAAAAAAAAAAAAAAAAAAAAAGCAAGCACCTCCCCCGCATCTACCTAGTCATTCTCTATCCTCTTCTCTGGCTTTATTTTTTTATTGTACTTATTACTAGTGATGGTGTGTATGTGTTAGTTTTGCTTCTTGTCTCCTTCTAGAGTGTCAGCTTCTTCAGGGTGGAGGTCTTACTTGTCATGTTCACTGTTTGATACCCAGTACACCGGAGTGCCTGGCACATAGTACATACTCAATAAATATTTGTTTGAATGAATGAATGAGTGGAACACCATTTCCAGGTTTACAAATGACTTCTTCTCAATGTCTTCATCTTTTAAAATTTTAAGAGAAGGTGACAGGCCCTGGGGCTGGAACCCCACAAATCATGAAATCTGATGTCAGGTAGACCTAGGTCAGACTCAACAGTTCTGTCCTGACTGTAGCTGATGCAAGAAGTGAGTGAGGAGGGCGCCTGGGTGGCTCAGTTGGTTAAGCGACTGCCTTCGCCTCAGGTCATGATCCCAGAGTCCTGGGATCTAGCCCCACATCGGGCTCCCGGCTCAGCGGGAAGCCTGCTTCTCTCTCCCACTCCCCCTGCTTGTGTTCCCTCTCTCACTGTGTCTCTCTCTGTCAAATAAATAAATAAAATCTTAAAAAAAAAAAAAAAAAGAAGTGAGTGAGGGGGCTGGGTGACCCCAGTGTCTCCATGGAGCCAGGGCTGGGCTGACGTATTAGCCTGCACTTAGCCCGGCCCTTCTGTCTTTTTGTTCAGATGACCCCCTCCTCCCCTAGTCTCTACAAACTGACAGTCAAAG